CGTCGAGTCGTCTCTTCACAGGCGTCGAGTCGTCTCATCGCAGGTGTTGGGGCATCTGAAGTCTCCGTGAGAGTCTGGATACAAACTTGAGCTGACGAACGCTATTTACCTCGGGACTAGCGTCCCGAGATAACAGCAGAAAAGCAGATGGGAAATAATTAGCGTAGCTGCTGTTCATAATATTAATGCATTCGATCTGATTCAACAATAGAAGGTAAGCATTATGTGAATGCTTGGCTAAAGAGATGCGTCTTTAATCTAGTTTTGAACTGGGAGAGCGAGTCTGAGCCACGAACAGTATCAGGAAGGCTATTCCAGAGTTTAGGAGCTAAATGCGAGAATGCCCTCCCTCCTTTAGTGGACTTAGATATCCTAGGAATGACCAGAAGCCTCGAATTTAGTGATCTTAACGAACGCGATGGATTGTAGGGCTATAGAAGGTCCATTAAATACACAGGAGCTAAACCATTTAGGGCTTTATAGGTCAGTAGTAGTACTTTGTAATTGATACGGAACTTAATAGGTAACCAGTGCAGAGATGATAAAATCGGTGTTATATGATCATATTTTCTTGACCTAGTAAGAACTCTAGCGGCTGCATTTTGCACTAACTGTAGCTTGTTTATTGAGGATGCAGGACAACCAGCTAATAAGGCATTACAGTAATCTAGTCTCGAGGTCATGAATGCATGAACTAACTTTTCTGCATCAGAAACAGATAGCATGTTACGTAATTTAGCAATGTTTCTAAGATGGAAAAAGGCTGTTCTTGTAACATATGAAATATGATTTTCGAAAGACAAGTTGCGGTCTAGTATAACACCCAGGTCTTTTACTGTAGTCGATAAGGTAACAGGACATCCTTCTAAATTAAAGTTGTATTGTAAGAGATTTTGTGGGTAGTTTTTTGGACCAATAAGTAATACCTCCGTTTTATCTGGATTTAATAGCAGGAAATTACACGTCATCCAGCAATTTATATCTTTAAGACATTCTGTCAATTTTGATGAGTTAGTGTTTTCATCTGGTCGTGATGAAATATATAATTGAGTGTCATCAGCATAGCAGTGGAAATTAATTCCATGTTTTCTTATAATATTACCAAGTGGCAGCATATATATTGAGAATAGCAGAGGGCCTAACACCGATCGAGACTCATTTAGACCGAAATACTCATTTGGTTTAAGCCAGGTTTCAGTAAGGCAAAGTACATCGAAGCTATTATCTGTGACCATTTCATTTACAATAACCGCCTTAGGTGTGAGCGATCTAATGTTTAGAAGACCTAGTTTTAGAAATTGTTTTTGTTCACTGATATTTAGATTTTCTGGTTTAATTACAATAAGATTTTTCCTAGATCCTACACTAGATTTATTGTTTGGCCTCACTAGACGAGGAATAGACACAGTTTCTATATAATGTTCTACACTACTTATATCAATTAAGTTGGGACAGCAAAGACTGTGAATTGGACTTTGACTTACTAGTCAGATGGTGTGCAACGTCTTGGAGATGTTGTCCGACAGAACAGCCGCTCCGATTCTGCTGGGGTGCAGGCCATCAGCACGGTAGAGCCTAGGTCGCTCCCAGAACAGATTCCAATTATTTACAAAGAGCAGTTTCTGTTCATTACACAATGACATTATCCATTCATTTAGTGCAAATAATCTACTGAACCTTTCCTGTCCTTGTCGGTACGTGGGAAGCGGTCCAGACACGATGATCGTTGCCTCAGGCGCTGTGCTGCGTACCGCCTCGATCAGGCTCCTGTAGTCCTTCTTCAGAACCTCCGTCTGCCGCAGCCTAATGTCGTTCGTTCCCGCATGGAGGACAACGGCTCCGACGCGCTCGTCACCGTTCAGGATCTCGGGAACCTGTGCGGCGACATCAAGAACACGAGCACCAGGAAAGCAGTGAGTGCGCACCTTACCCTTACCTGAGGTAGCGCGGACATGACGGACCATGGAAGTGCCGATGATCACGGCGTCGTCGCGTTCCGACTCGCGAAGAGGGGAGAAGCGGTTCCGAGTGGAGATCTCGAAGACCGGGAGGGGCGGAGAGGTTCTTGCTCTGGTCCTGGCTCGTGTCTTCCGCTGTGGGATCACCCAGGGTCCATGGTGCTGTGTCGGTGCCGGAGTGAATGAAGCCAGAGATGATCGCGTCCTCCTGGGCAGAGAAACGCACGGAGTAGAGGAAGTCGGAGTCAAAAAGTTACTAACCACTGACTTGTGAGCATCGGCGCGTGACGTTTCAAGCGCTGATCGCCGATCCCGCAGCTCGGCTTGCCTCTCCAGCAGATCACGGATCTGTTTCTCCACCGATTCCAGTTCCAATCGCACCGACATCAGCTCGAATGTGTCCTCACCTGCACTCAGAGGTAACGTTAGACACACATCCGATATGTTCGCCATTATAACAGATGAACAGTAAATTAGTAGTGATACTACCAATATCACTACTAATTTAGGACTGGAATGCTGGATATAACCTGTATCCTTTCAGTGAAACGGGTGTAAAATCAGACGCTCGATAGGCGCGAGCCCACGCGTGAAATGCTAGCGGGCTAAAGGCTAGTAGCCGAGATTCGCAAAGTTGGATCTAAGTAGCGATATCAAAGCAATCCGATTGTTTTTTATAGGGAATAGTATCGAGGATAGGTTCACACGATATAAAAATAGAAAGTGCTTGTTAATAAATGAGTGGTAAAGAAGAAAATCAAGGATTAATGAATCAATTCGACGGAGCTCTAAACACAAACAAACACCGCACGCGCATGCGCAGAGAGAACCACATATTACTGGTTAATTATGCAATACAAACAGTACAATAATAACAGGCACACATTCAATTGGGTAGTACCTTTAAATTTGTGAAATAGGAAATAAAGGGTTGCCATTTAAGGAAAAATTTGACTGTACATCCTCTCAATGTATATTTAATTTTCTCAAGTTTTAAAAAATACATGATGTCTCTGAGCCAACGGGAGATAGAAGGATATTTAGCAGACTTCCAATGTAGCAATAAGGAGCGTCTTGCTAGTAAGGATGTGAAAGCTATGATGTCCTTTTGTGTACGGTTAAGTGCCATTGAGGGGTCAGGAATCCCAAATATAGCAATCAGAGGACAAGGTTGGAGATTTACCCCAAGAACAGAGGACATAATATTAAAATAAGCCACCCAGAAATCTACCAAATCAGGACAAAAAAACAACAACATGTGGCTAAGATGACAAGGGGAGCCATGGCATTTATCACATTTGTCTTCCACTTCCGGATATATTTCAGATACACTGTAACAAATTGCTGTAGATTCTACAGCAAAATTCTACAGAAATTTATTGTTTTATCATTTTACAAGTTATTACTGTAATTCGCAATGCATTATGGGTCAAAAAGGGTATTACAGTTGTTAACAGTATATTTCCCTATCAACTGTAAATTGATTTACAGGTTAGAGGTGTTTTTACTGTAGTTCATACGTTTTACAACAATTTACTGTGACGTGGCATTATGGGATTGCGCGGGCTGAATACAGGTTTGAAAACTGGTGGACTGGAGCAGGGCAAGAAGCGCTGAAGATAAAAGGCACTATTTACAAAATGTTTGGTAAGTTAACTTAAATGTACGTCCATAAATATTACAATCTAATGTATTACTTAATGCTGTTTGAGCGATTCATATTTTGAACAGAATTCATCATGTCAGATATGCAATTAATTTTATCGACTTGTTAACAACTGCGTGTTATCAGGACATTTAGTGTGATGTAAAAGTGTTTGATTCCAATATTAACGTTACGTTTATTTAGTAAAGGAATGTGTTTTCTTCAATTTTCTTGTTTCAGGCGAGGCAGAATCGCGACGGGGCGCGCCATAACAGTGGTGAGACGAAGCTGAACTGTTACAAGGTAAAACCATCGTAAATGTTATGGACGAATGCTGCCGTTTGTTACAGTTTTATTCGCAATCCGCGTATATTTGCTCTCAAGAGAGTATTTTTAGAGCATTTGCAGTTTCCAAGACAAGACAAATCAACTGAAGTGTTGGTGAGAAAAAAACTAGTAACGTTAGGCCTATACGCAGTTAGCTTTCTTGACGAAAAACATTAGAATCTATGATATTATTAACATCGTTGCATGCTGCTATTTTCTCATTTATTTCACCAGTTTTGATTTATTATTGAGAGCATGTAAAACCAGAGTTTAACAAAGGCCTGCGTCATAACTAAATTTAACGCAAAGCAATTTGCTGCGAACAATGATATAGGAATGCCTATTTGCCTTTGCTCTCGAGAGAGTATTTTTTAGAGCATTTGCAGTTTGGAAGACAAGACATAATTACTGAAGTGCTGTTGAGACAAAACTACATACAGGATACGCACGTGCAGTTAGCTTTGCTGATTAAAAACATTACAATATGATTTTAACATCGTTGGATGCTGCTATTTCTCATTTATTTCACTAGTTTGGATTTCTTATTGAGAGAATGTAAAACCAGTGTTTAACAAATCCCTGCGTCATAAATAAATTCAAAAAGACTGGCAAACGATTTGAAAGTTCATTTAATTTTCTGTTAAAAGTTCCTATATTTATTGTTTTCTTAATATAACTTGAACCTAAATCTAAATGAAAAATGTATTACTGTAAATTGTGTCGACATGAGAGCAATACCATTGTAGGTTTTACTAAGCATATGAAAGGTCACAGTAATGTTCCAAACTGCTGTTTTACCTGTGGTGTACCTGACTGTTCCTGTGCATTTACAAAATTTGCAGCTTCTCATCTATATAGAGACCATACAGGTTATCATAAGTCTCGTAAAGGTTCCAGATTTGACCAAATAGACACAACACTGATTTGCCAGATTGGATTTTGTCATTTCACATGCACAACTCTGAATGACTTAATTAGGCATTTAAAATGCCATTTTGATGAGGGCAGGGAAATCGGTCTGTACTGCATTTACTGCATACTGCATTTAATTACATTTACAATTTTTTCCTTTTATATTTTTTCTTGTAGATGTCAGCAACAGCAGCTGATGTAGAAAAAAGTTCTACACTTCCAGACTCTCCGAGACTGATTGTCTTAGGTAATGTATGTTCCAAAATCTTTAAATTACTTAATACATTTTGCCTGTTGTATGTTAGCATACATTTTTATAAAGTGTTTTCTTATATTTATTATTTTTAGGTGAAATTCTCACTGCAACCCAGTGGATGCCGAGTATTGAGGGTCAAGTGTTTATGAATCCACACCCCAATTTTATGGCTGGAATTGCTGCTTTGTTTGCAACTTACTACAACTTTAATCTGGTGTACGAGCACGAGGCATCCTGCACACTTGAATTTGTTCAAAGGTAACAGTTTACTTAAATATAAATGTGTATATGTTAAAGGATTAGTTCACCCAAAAATTAAATTTCTGTCATTAATTAACTACTGACCCTCATTCATTTTCGGAACACAAATTAAGATATTTTTGATGAAATCCGAGAGGTTTCTGAACCACACATAGGCAGCAAAATCATTGCAACTTTCCAGGTCCAGAAAGGCAGTTAAGACATTGTTAAAATAGACCATATGACTACAGTGGATCAACCTTAATGTTATGAAGCCACGATAATACTTTTTGGGCGCAAAAAACCCCCAAAATAACGACTTTATTCAACAATCTCTTCTGTGTCAGTCTCTGACGCTGTTAATGTAATAAACACAGTGCAGCGCTTCCAGGTTCTACGTTAGAACAAAAAGTATTCTCATCACTTCATAACATTGAGGTTGATCCACTGGAGTTACATGGACTATTTTAATGATGTTTTTACTACCTTTCTAGGCCCTGGAAGTTGTAATGACGTTGTGGTCTATGTGTGGTTCAGAAACCTCTCTGATTTCATCAAAAACATCTTAATGTGTGTTCATGAAAATGAATGTAGGTCAGTCGTTGAGTAATTAATTACAGAAATGTCGTTTTGGGGTGAACTAACCCTTTTTAGTATTGTAGCGAATGCTTATTGTAAAGTGGTATATTTTCATTAGTCTGCACGTGATCCTAAAGCTTCTGCTTGTGTTTTTCTGACTAATTTTTGTGCAGATGTTTTGTTGGAATCAACCCATCCACTGGTACCAAGACAGTCAAAAAAAAGTGGAAAGACCTCAGAGAAGAGGAACAACAATATCAATCCTCATGTGTCTACTCTTCTCAGAAGGCTAATGGACTTTGAGTTGTTAAGCATGTAAGTTGTCAAATGTATATATATAAAAAAAAAAAACTACAGGAGGAGATGTCTATACTTGCAAAAAATGTAAAAACGTACTTTAAATTAAAATGGTTTAAATGTTTTTAGAGAGAATGTTGTCAATCACCATTGTTGTTTATCACAAACATTTATACCAAAAATAATTTTAAAAAAGGCAGAAATGTGAGTTTTAACAGGAGATGTGAGTTAAAGGGTTGGTTCACCCCAAAATAAAAATACTGTCAGTAATTACTCTCCCTCATATTGTTCCAACCCTGTAAGACTTTCGTTCATCTTCGGAACACAAATTAAGATATTTTGGATTAAATCTGAGAGCTGGATCACTCCTCACACACATGATCAGCGTTGGCCAATAGTGAGCCTACGTGTGACGTACAACACAAAAGCGCTGCGCTGTTACACTACGTGAAATATCACGGCCCTCAGAGAAGGAAATGAATTGTTGAATAAAGTCGTTATTTTTGTTTGTTTTTGCGCACAAAAAGTATTCTCGTCGCTTGATAAACTTAAGATTGAGCCACTGTAGTCACTTGGACTATTTTAACGATGTCTTTCATAACTTTTTTGGGCCGGCAAGTTTCGATCCCTTAAGAAGCCTATGGAGGAGTGATCCAGCTCTCAGATTTAATCAAAAATATCTTAATTTGTGTTCCAAAGATGAAGGAAAGTCTTCCGGGGTTGGAACAACATGAGGGTGAGTAATTACTGACAGAATTTTCATTTTGGGGTGAACTAACCCTTTAACCATAATGCCATTCTGTTGGTTGAGCTTAAAGGAATAGTTCACCCAAAAATGGAAATTCCGTCATCATTTACTCACCCCCATGTTGTTCCAAACCTGTATGAGATTCTTTCTTTTGCTGAACACAGAATATATTTTAGATATATTGAAGAATGTTGGTAATCAACAGATGGTAGCCATTTACTTTCAATTGTCTGGTTACCAAAATTCTTTGAAATATCATATTTTGTGTTCAACAGAAGAAAGAAACTCATACAGGTTTGGAACAAATTGAGGGTGAGTAAACACAATGATGACAGAATTTTCATTTTTGGATGAACTGTCCCTTTAACTTTTATTGAACCCAGAATCTTGCTTTTAAGTCTTACAAGTTATTTGTAGTTATTTTGTGACTGATTTTGAAAAGATTTTCTGTACTTGAAAAAGTAAAATTGTTGTTACCAGTCTTGCAGTTATTTGCTTAATATTTGAATAAATATTTTTTGACAACAGCTTTGACTTTGTGTTTGTTTTTTTAAATGTTTATTTTAATGCATTTACATCAATATAATAAAGTACAGTTTACTGTTAAAATGATTCTTTTCAGCTTTTTAAATGTTAAACTATTACAGCATCTTCTTGAATTTTGTGGGTATTTACAGGATTTTATTGGCAACTTTATTGCCAGGTTAATACTGTACTTTAGTGAAATTACAAAAAATTGCTGTAAAATATATTTACAGGATTTTATTGGCAACTTTATTGCCAGGTAAATACTGTACTTTAGTGAAATTACAAAATATTGCTGTAAAATAAAATACAAGTTTAATTCAATGTTACTGTAAAAAAAAACGTCTCGGTTACGGATGTAACCCTCGTTCCCTGAGTAGGGAACGGAGACGTTCCGTCGGATGACGACGAATGGGGTTTCGCTTAGAAAGCCAATCGACTTCGAGTACTTCAAAACGAGCCAATGGCAAAGAAATGCCATGGGTCTGCGGAATTTGCATAGCGTAGCACCGCCCCACCTCGTGGGTATTTAAGGAGCACGCTGGCAGCAAACCGGCATGTTTTCTTCGCTGAGGAGCCAAGACTGAGGTCAGGCGATCCTCGCGGTACAGCGGAAGTGGCAGACAGACGGAACGTCTCCGTTCCCTACTCAGGGAACGAGGGTTACATCCGTAACCGAGACGTTCCCTTTCGTTGTCACTCCGAGTTCCGTCGGATGACGACGAATGGGGATACCAGTCTAATCACGCCACTTCTCAGCTGTCTTCCAGTGCCCTGCGTAATCTGAGATCCCTGTCGTGAGACTAGCACGGACGAAGGACTCCTATTATCACAGGAATTTTAACCAAGGTACACTGGGGAGCATATCCCAGAATTAAAGGGAAGTATGCAATTATTGCCAACCCAGAGGGGGGGACTTAGGAATACACATATGACCCGAGGGATGCATATGGGGAATCTCTAGGGTGTCCAGCCGCAGGTGGAATATTTCAACCCCAGGGGTGGCAAGGTGGCTTGCCGAGGGAAAGACACATGCTCAAAGAGGCTTACAGTGGAAATACACATGTGGGGGTCGCTCAGAGGAGGGACCATGCACACGGGGAGGCACCTAGCCGACGCGCAGGCAATAGACACTGGCGCCAGCATCAGAAGTGCTGGAGGAACTCAGGGCTTTCGGGGAAGCTCACCTGAGCAAATATATCGCACGTATCCAGTCCGTGGAGTGGAGTGGCGAGCAAGCGAAGACACCTTAACGGAACCCATGTTAGCTTGAAAAAGTCAGTACACGGGAGGAGACTGGCTCCACTCGGAGATTGTAAAATCTGGCGAAAGTGTTAGGTGTCGCCCAGCCTGCAGCTCTGCAGATGTCTGTTAGCGAGGCGCCATGCGCTAAAGCCCAAGAGGATGCCACACTCCGGGTGGAGTGGGCTGTCACACCAAGGGGGCACGGTCGACCTTGCTGCTGGTATGCCAAGGCAATGGCGTCCACTATCCAGTGAGACAACCTTTGCTTGGAGAGAGCCTTTCCCTTCAGCTTCCCACCATGACAGACAAAGAGCTGGTCTGAGGTCCTGAAACACTGCGTTCTGTCTACATAGATGCGGAGAGCACGTACTGGACAGAGCAGTGCCAAGGCTGGGTCTGCCTCCTCCGGGGGCAGCGCTTGCAGGTTCACCACCTGGTCCCGAAAGGGAGTGGTAGGAACCTTGGGCACATATCCAAGCCGGGGTCTCAGGATCACGTGAGAATAGCCCGGCCCGAATTCTAGGCACGCTTCGTCAACGGAGAATGCGTGCAGGTCCCCCACCCTCTTAACGGAGGCCAATGCAGTCAGAAGCGCTGTCTTCATAGATAGGAAGTTTAGCTCGACTGACTGCAAAGGCTCAAAGGGAGCACTGCGCAGGGCAGTTAGGACCACTGCGAGGTCCCAAGAGGGTACGAGAGGAGGACGAGGAGGATTCAGTCTCCTCGCTCCTCTCAGGAACCTGATGATCAGGTCATGTTTCCCCAAAGACTTACCTTCTATAAGGTCATGCTGTGCGGCAATAGCGGCTACATAGACCTTAAAGTCCCACTCCGATCATATTTTTTAGCTATTTTTAAACATTCCCAGTGGTCTTTAAATTATGATTATGCCATTTTTAGCCAAAATCACAAAACCTGTGCCGTTTTCTGGGACTTCGCTTCAGCAGAGCGGCAGTAGCTCATTAGAAATTCGCCTCTGCGTTGTGGGCGGAGCCGTTGGCACGGAGGCACGGGGACGACCCTCCCCCTCCCCGTTGCTGAGAGCTCTGTCTCTCCCGCTAGCTTACATCCCCAACCTGTCAATACCGGTGCAACAAAAATGGAGAACAATATTGGAGCTATCCAGCCGTACAGTTTTGAGCCAGATGCCAGCTCGGACGAGGAACAAGAGGACGTACATAGATCTAGTCGTCTACAAGTGGATGTATCAGAATGGTAACGTTATTGTTTTTGTAATCTCTTGAATTGACTATTTCAGGCCAATAACTCCTAATAACATGTTAGTAAATAAATATGTTTGTGGACATGCTCCAAACATTTAGTCAGATTAACCTTTTTGAAGTTTTCATAGCTATCACACAAAGAATAAATCATAGTGCTGCAGAATCAAGTTTAAATTTAAGTTTACTTATAGAGCACAGTATGAGCTTGTGGCCCCGCCCAGTGGAGTTACTACGTCACAACTCCAGTCTATTTCAAACGGCATTTTTGCGTCTGCTACTGATTCACAGCCATTTGAATGTAGAAATACTCAGAAATACAACTTTGAGCCTATTTTTCTAAAGATATGTCCTCTAACATAAGAAAAATGCCACAAGAACATGTTAACACCTAGAAAAACATTATTTTCATCGGAGTGGGTCTTTAAGGGTGGAGGGAGACAGCCTTCGCTCCAACCCTTCTTGAAGAAAGGAAAGCACAACACTGATCGAACAACTCCGGGGCTCTTCTCGGCGAGAAGAGCACCAGCTGACGAAGAGGTTCCACTTCAACGCGTAGAGGTGTCTCGTGGACGACGCTCTAGCGGAAGTGATGGTAGCCGCCACCGCTGGTGGCAGGGTACTCAAACCTGCCTCGTCCCGTCCAGGAGCCACACGTGGAGGTTCCAAAGATCGGGACGAGGGTGCCATAGGGTGCCCCGTCCCTGAGAAAGGAGGTCCTTCCTCAGAGGAATCGGCCAAGGAGGTGCTGTCGCGAGGAGTACAAGTTCGGAGAACCAGGTCCGGGTGGGCCAGTACGGCGCGACCAGAGTGACCTGCTCCTCGTCCTCCCTGACCTTGCGCAGGAGTTGCGCAAGAAGGCTCACTGGGGGAAACGCATATTTGCGGCCCCGCGGCCAGCTGTGCGCCAGAGCATCCGTGCCGAGCGTGCCCTCGGTCAGGGAATAATACTGGGCGCAATGGGTCGAGTCGTGAGAGGCAAACAGATCTATCTGTGCGTCCCCGAACTGGTCCCAAATCAGCTGAACCGTCTGGGGATGGAGTCGCCAATCTCCGGGGAGGGGCTGAAGCCGTGACAGCTCGTCGGCTGCACAGTTCAGGGCTCCAGGGATGTAAATGGCTCGAAGCGACCTCAGATGCTTCTGACTCCATAAGAGGAGGTGGCGGGCGAGTTGCGACATACGGCGGGAGCGCAGACCACCTTGACGGTTGATGTACG